CATTTTACAGGTGTATGCATGTATACTATGAGCCTTTCATTTTTGTTGTTTCTTTTTATTTTGTTTGGTACCGGGGATCAAACTCGGGTCCTTGCACTTGTGCGGCAGGCACCAGAACCGCCGAGCTAAATCCCTGGCCTTCATTTTTATTGTTTCTGTTGCATAGAGAACTTTGAGTTAAAATATGGGAGCTGGGCAATGGTGCGAGATAAGAGACTAAGAATAATATCCATTGGAAGGAGGAGGAGCAGAGTTGGACGGATCCTGTAGAGGTACAGTTGACTGGGCTATGTGCATGATTTACAAGAAGAGTGATGTTAGGGGGAGTTTCCCTGTGGACAGTGTATCCATGACAGCAAGAAACGTGTGCAATGCCCAGGACACAGGGTGACACCAGGCTAAGGTTGGAGCAGCACATGCCCCAGAAGCACTTGGCAGTGCTGATCCACACCATGATAAAGAAGTTCAGAAATGGGGAAAACGGAGATGGAGATTAATCTGGGGAGGGGAGGGTCTTGTTAGAGGTACTAGCTGAACACACTGATACAGACTCATGTTTAAAAGGGAGAAGAGAACTCCCTAGGACAAACTTCTGGAGAATATCTAGGCAACAAAGAAGGAAAAGGAGGAACCCTTAGGGATAAAAAGCATGACTACAGCTCCTTGGGTTTCCCAGAAGCTAAGATATGTGGCCTTGAAGAGAAATTTCGTTTCTGTGACTTGGGCTATCAGTTCTTTCCTGGATCCTGGATGCATAGTATGAAATGGAAACATGAGATCTTGCTTTTTAATTAGAATTGAATTTTTAGCATCACAAGCACACAGCACACAGGATATTTCCCTTTGAATTGTGCAGTAGATGTTTCTATATATTATCACTTAACCTGAAGAGGAAATCATACTGATTCGTCAGGGAGGTCTTTTGAGCAGAGTGGGCATTATTTTTGTTGTACAACACCCGTAAATGATGAACAGAAGGACAGGTCATTTTCACTATGTTGGTTCTTTCTAACTAAAAGCAAGGGATGTCTTTCTGTTTTCTGATATTCTCTTCTCCTTTTTCAGAGTATTGTAGTTTTCCACATAAAGCTGTTTTACTTCCTTTGTCAGATTGATTCCTAAGTATTTCATTTTTTTATGCTATTATGAAAGACGTGGTTCCCCTAATTTCTCTCTCATTGAGCTTGTTACTTGTGTATAGGAGTGCTATTGGCTTTTGAGTGTTGATTTTGTGTCCAGCTCTGTGACTTTTCCTTTCCTATCTTTATTGCTTTTATTTCTTTCTCTTGTCTAATTGCTGAATGTTTCCAGAACTATACTGAATAGGAGTGGTGATAGTAGATATCCTTGTGTCTTCCTGATTTTAGAGTGAAAGTTTTCAGTTTTTGACCATTTCATATGATGTTGGCTGTTGGTATGTTATAGGTGGCTTTTATCAGTTTGAGATAAAGACCGTCTATTCCAGTTTTCTGTAAGGATTTACCATGAATAGGTATTGGACTTTGTCAAGTGTTTTTTCTGATCTATTGAGATGTGTAAATTTTGTCCTTGACTCTGTTAATATAGTGTATTACATTTATTAATTTCCATATTTTGAACCATCTCTTTGATGAATCCTAATGGTTATGGTATATAATCTTTTCGATAATTTGCTGCATTCTGCTAGCTGGTATCTTATTGAAGATTTTTGAGTCTGTATTCATTAGGGAGATTATCCTGTAGTTGTCCTTTTTGGTTGGATCCTTTTCTGGTTTTGGTATCAGTAATGCTTGCTTCCAGGAATGACTTTGGGAATATTGCTCCTCTTTTAGTTTCATTAAAAAGTTTGAGGAGTAGTGGCATTAGATCTTCTCTAAATTGCTTGAGAATTCACCAGTGACTCCATCAGGACCTGGGCTTTTCTTTGTTAGCAGGTTTTTAATTACATCTTTAGTTTAATTAACTGATATGAGATTATTTAGAGTTTTTATATCTTCTTGATCCGCTTAGGTAATTCATATGTATCTGGGAATCTGTCCATTCTGTTTTTCATCTTATTAGAATACAGGTTCTCGAAATAGGTATTGATAATCCTGTGGATTTATGCAGGATCTGTTGTGATTTCACCCTTTTCATTCTTAATTGCATGGATTTCTTTTTTTGTTAATAGGTTGGCTAAGGGTTTGTCAATTTTATTTAATCTTTCAAAGAACCAACTCTTCGATTCATTGACTCTGTCTTGTTTTCTTAGTCTCAGTTGCATTAATTTCTTCTCTGATCTTTATAATTTCCTCCCTCATACATGCTTTGGGCTTGACTTGCTCTTTTTCTAGAAATTTAAGGTTCAACATTTGGAGACAATGAAATTGGAAATTAATGGCAAAAGAAACCATAAAAACTTCATAAACACATAGAAGTTAAATAACACTGTCCTGAACAACCAATGGATCCCAGATGAAATAAAAGAAGAAATTAGACTGTTTCTACAATTAAAGAAGAATGACAGTTCCGCATCCAGAACTTATGGGACACAAGGAAAGCAGTTGTACGAGGGAAATTTATAGCAGTGAACTCTCATATCTGGATTCCCTCTCTTGCTGAATTAGATGCTGCTTCTGTATTTCTGAAATACCTGTGTGCCCAGGACCCATTTTATAAACACCATTAAATTGTTTTTCCATTAGTATTTGAACTCCAGGACGGTATATGAATACTTCACTGTATTTATTTCACCAATTTGCAGAACAAAGCACAAGTACTTCCTGTACATATGGTTGTGATGAAAAGAAATATATTCTTTACCACAGAAACTCCAGCCACGGGCTGTTGGTGTGGCTCCATGGTAGAGTGCTTGCCTAGTATGGGCAAGACTCTGGATTCCATGCCCAGCACCAGAAAAGCAGCAGGGAGGGTTGTAGGAAAAAGAACTTTAAATCTATATTCAATATCTTACTGCTTTTTTATTGTTATGTAGTCCCACATAATATGAGTTATATGGTAAGTACACAAAATTTTTAAGCACTCTGGAGAGTGTGATGGTAGGAAAGCATTAAAAGGTGGGACTCAGAAAAAGGCAGTAGCTCTGTATGAGAATATGTCCAGGCCCCAGCACTGAAAAGAAAGAGAAACTGCAAGAGAAAGAAACTGAAGTGGGCCAGGGCATAATTTAGCTGGCTGACAGGTTAAGTTTTTCAGCCTCTAACATGTTTTAGGTGCATAAAGGATTCTCAGTAGATGATGGTTTAGCTCAGAGAATTACAGAGAACATACTCTGGTTCATATTCTTTTCAATATTCTAGTAAGAAATGATGAATTATTCCTAATGTTTAAAGTTGTGTGAATTTTTTGGTAAATTATTTTCTTGTCTTACTACTTTTATATTGCTTATTCTATACAGGATTTTTTGCGGGGGTTACTGGGGTTTGAACTCAGGACCTTGGGCTTGTGAGGCAGGCAGCGGCACCACTGAGCCAAATCCCCAGCCCCTGTGCGGCATTTTCTTCCCCCTTAAAATTAACAGGTGCGGGGCTGGGGCTGTAATTCAGGGGTAGATCATTGTGCTTAGCATGCAGAAAGCCCTGAGTTTGATGCCCTGCATCACATAAAGAAAAAAAGATTACTACGCCATGCTTAGATGAGCCCCTTCCCTTCTGGTGGGTGGTTATTGCACTAACCTACCATGAACACAAAAAGCAGTATACCATTTCTCATTCAGGTTTTCTTATTTTGGAAGAGAACTCAATGAAGCAACTACTCCACCTGTAGTTTATCGTACTTTTTTCTTCCCTGTAATGAATTGGTAACTGGTACAGCAGTGAGGAAATGTAGGCCAGTGACCGTCTGGCCTCTGTCAGCTGGCTGAGTTTATAAAAGAGATGAGGGGACTGAAAACCAGGGTAACCAGTGGGAGAAAACGGGGCGTGTAATCAGAAAGAGAGGTGATTCTATGCAATCTGTGAGAACCAGTTATAGAAAAATAGTAATTATAGCTTGCACACACCTGTAATTCCAACATTTGGGAGGCTGAGGCAGGAAGATTTTGAGTTTGAGGCCAGCATTTGCTACACAGCAAGACCATGTATGCAAAAAAAGATCATGTACCTTATGAATTTTTACTCTGAATGTTAATCTTAGAGCAAAGTGATATGAAGGAATTCCTGTACTATCTTAGTGATGCATTTATGGCCTGTATTTTCTCATCTGTCGTTTGTGTGGGGATTTCTGTAGATTCTGGTATTTCGTCAAGTGATCTGTTCGTAGTGTGAGTGGAGCGAAGAACTTACTAGTGAGTGAGTGAGACAGCAAATGCAAGAAAACCATGTTACGTAGCAGACAACAGATCTCCTGCTGGGTTGATGAGGAGCAGCTGGTGTCCGGTATCGGCCCAGAACCAGATTCACCTTTTTACTTCAGGCCCCCCGACTCACCCTCCCCACACCTTCGCAGACCTTGGAAGTAGATAATGGTGTACACCACAGGCTCTGGACCATGAGGCATAAAATTTGATCTACACTCAGATGAGGTGAAGTATTTCTGTGAAATGCCAAGGTGCTGCATCGGTACCACATTGTGTTACTGTTGTCTGATGCTGGTCTGTTGGCTTCCATGTTGTTTAACGTAGTAACCCCAGAACCTGGTATATGTGTTACCACTCTGTTAGAACACCTGTGTTTTGGCAAACTGTATTTCTAGGGTTTAGTTTCCAATTTAGTCCCTTTTCCCTCTTGAGACAAATAACTCTCATGGTATCTCTAATAGACTTCGGATGCTATAGTCTTATCGGGTTAAAAGATGAACTAAAACTAAAAGAATGACTTATGTTTGGGGATAGAATTTCCATGAGATATGGAGCAAATGTCAAAGATTTTAAAAAAGGTCCCTTGGTTAAGAATGAGTTCAAATACGACAAACCCCTTTATAATAGTGGTTAATGCTGAACATTTTTTCACCCAAGATACCAGAATCTTTACTGTTAAAGAACAAAATGTCAGTGCAATATTGAATTCTGTTCTTTTTTACAGTGCCTCCAAAGCCAGTACATCTGCTGCATTCACCTTCGTCCAATATACACCAATCCCCCAGACATAAAGCTTTATCTAGCGCAAAACCCAGGATGGAGGAAATTAAACCTGCCTCTGCTTCTTGTGTCTCAAAAGAAAAACCCAGTAAGGTATCAGATCTCATCAGTCGCTTTGAAGGAGGCAGGTAAGAGTTAACTTACAACGGCCATAGGCAGGGGGAGGAAGAAGCTAATTCTCAAAAAGCTGGTAGTCCTAGATTTTCTGAATCACAACCATCATTCCATACTCTGTTAGGTTCTGCAGGCCTTCGGCAAGTACATCTGAAAATAATTTAGGGACTCTTGCCCTAGTATGACTTGTCACTTACGATATGTGACCAGTGTGCAGTGTGCTAGGCCACCGGCGTGTTGGTGAAATTGTGTGCTTTTGTACAGGTGCCCTCTCTGAATCCCTCTGTACCCGTCACCCTCTGTGTCCGTTATGCCGGTCACTGTCTGGGTCGGAAAGGCTGAGAGGTTGCCTGTCTCTTTGTTCACTCTCTGTATTTGTAAATGTGACTCCTCTGGGCTTGTCTTGTCTTGGGCCTTTATTCATTGTGAATTTTCTAGACCATTCAGTCCATCTCTCCCCACCCCCATACCTACCTTTGGTACATTTTACAAAATGATATAATTAAAAGCAAAATACTCTACATACTAAATTTCAGTGTTCTATTCATAGATAGAATATTATTTTCTTTATTTAGTTCCATTGTATGTGGGGAAGGCCACTGAAATATTGTATGTATTTCTCACTTGAAATCAAGCCCATGTAAATTGCTTTTCTACATATGAGACCCTGAATTGTTTGTTCTTATAATCTACTAGAATTCCCATCATTGACTTAAATAGAATTTAATTTATAAGTTTGTCAGGATTTTTTTTCCTGTCACCAGATGTTTATAATAGAACAGAATGTATATGACTTCATTTTTATCCTTAAAACCAAGTATTTCTGTTCATTCCAGTGTAATATTTAGGAATGGTTCATTAGGTGGTCTTTTTTCTTTGCAGGATTCATTATTATTAAATAAATGCATAGCTCATCCATACTTTGGGGTTGTTCAGAAAACTGACTAAGCACAGAGCTGCAGTTTCCCTCATTTAAACTAAGATATGTTTCGTTATAAATTCTGGAGAACAGTAGTTTAGAAGCCTGGCTTCATTTTTCGTTCCTGATTAATTTTGAAAACTTTTATCATACACCTTTAAATGTCAACCTCTCTCATTCTGAAGTTGGATTTATAATATCTTTGCTATCTGGAACAAGAGCAATCTTTACAAGAATAGTTTAATCCCCTTAACATTTTTTTGCTCAAGGTAAGTTGATCCAACCATAATAATCATACTAGAGAGCTGCTCTCTCTTGGCAGCTGGTCTCAGGGCCCCCTTGATGGGAGAGCCTCAGCATGTGCACTGGCACCCATATCCTGGGGTGTCACCCGAAATGGATTGGTCCGCAGATGGTGAGGCCTGTATCCTTCACTGTCTTGGAAGCCTGCACTTTGCCTTATTTTGGATTCTTCTCTACATGTGAAAAGACAGTTTTTCCATTGAGTACCATCAGTCTTCTACTCTTTGAAGATGCACAGGTTCATTGTTTGGTGCAGTGCTTCAGGCTTGGTGCTCGGGAGTGGCGTGCCCTAAGTCATGACATCGCTAAGCAAATCTGTCTGAGGACAGACAGGGTGCGATATGTTTTGCAGCCGGGCGTTGTGGCGCACACCTGTAATCCCAGCACTTGGGAGGCTGAGGCAGGAGGATCGCTGTGTGTTCGAGACCAGCCTGGGCTACATAGTGAGTTCCAGGTCAGTCTCAACTACATAGTGAGACCCTGTCTTGAAAAGTCTGAAAAAGGCCCCGACTTGGGGGTGGAGCCCATGGCTGACCCGGTAGTGGATGTCCATGGTGGACAGCACAAAGTGGTCCCGGAAGTAGCAGGGGGTGCTTACTATTACATGGGAAATTTCTGTTTACTGTTGAGTGACATCCATGTGCCTGCAGGGTGATTTTTTGGACTGGATCCCAGTTATCACTGCCTAGAGTGCGGAAGGGGGGGACTTGTGGGATAAAGGGATAGTACTTGTCTCTAGGTCATCACAGGGTGTGGACAGGGAGAGCCAGCATCTGTCAGAGTGGAGGCCATCAGAACATCCTAGAGGGCAGCTTCCCACTGCAGCTGAGGCTTCCCCTAGGCCATGACCCAGGTAACTCCATGCATTAAGAACAGCAATTTAAAGCAAACAGATTTATTTTTGACTGTAGTTTCCTCCCACCCTGTCCTTTTGCCTCTTTTCTACCAGAGTAAGAGAACATGCTTTTATCTTATGGCAGCATCGAGGATTAGAATTAACTTTTCCCTGCAGGTGTGGACATTGGTGTCCCCCGGGGGTTTTATAAAGCCAGCTGCTTCCCATCCCTGCTGAGTTTCCAGTCCACAAAGCAGCAGAAATCATCTTCGTCCTGGTTCCACTCCTGCCATCCCACCGCATCTCCGTATTCCCTGACCCCACGGACACCCTTGCTGTCACTCACAGACGGGACATTTGTAGCTGCGATCCGGAGCAGTGCTGAAAAGTCCTGAGCACCCTTGGAGATCTTTGTCAGGGCATTGGGCCCTGATGTGGGCCAGAAGAAGAGCAGCTTAATTCAGGTTCCCGAGGACTGCTGAGAAATTATCTTGGCCCAGAGCCCCAGCTCCTAGGGGCCAGCCCTCCGTGGGTTGTGACACATCTGTTTATACTGACTGCCTGCAGCGTCACCCTCTGTAGTGTTTCCTACTGAATTTTCTGCCCCTTCCTGAGGTGCTGGACATTACCCACATCTCTTCCCCCTTCCCACATTCTTGTTGCCTATTATAATTCCTGCCCTCCAGTCTCCAGTCCAGAGCAGCAGTGGCTGGGGTGGGGAGGACGGAGTGAAGAAAGGTCACCCCCGTCTGCGTGCTGAGGGACTTGCTGCTCCTCACCCACTGCTCACCCCAACACCTGCTGCCTCTGGGAGGACACCAGACTTCTCCGCACTGTGCGTCTGCAGCTATTCCTTTATTCCTCACTGCATTCTAAGTGATGCAGTGTTACAAAGTAGGGTTGGATCATGAGGATGCTGGCCACATGCCATCATTTTGTAAGCCTGAATTTCTCGTTCTGGGTCCTTGCTTTTAGACTGATGAAGAAACATGATCCATTCGAAGGGCTTACTGTGGCTTGTGACTCTGGGTAACACCCAAGGAGTTTTACATGCCCTTGTGACCCTGTCACTGTCCTCCTGATCGCTATTCCTAGATGGCCAGATATACCCAGAGCGGCACATGCACGAGCACTGTGCTGTGAAGTAGAAACAGGGCAGAGAACCGGCAGCACCGGCTGCACCTCAAAGGCGTGTTTTGTTTTTATATCTTCTCATGTAGGCCGTAAGACTCTCTCAGCCTGATAGTCTCCTCTTTACCCCGAAATCGTGGGTGAAAATGCTACCAGATGTTTCCATAGGAGAATTGCTATGTTAGGGGTGGTTCCATTGTCTTGTTAGCGCTGTTAGGACTGTGTGCAGTGTGGAGGGCAGGAAAGAAAAGTGACACGAAGGCCGGGGATTTAGCTCAGGGATTCCGTCGCTTGCCTCGCAAGCACAAGATCCCGAGTTTGATCCTGGTACCAAAAAAGAAAAAAAAAAAAGACGAGATGTGGAGCTGGTGAGGGTGTGCTATCTCACATGACTGATCCAGAAAAGCTGCAGTGATGAAAAGGAACTTTCCTGGTAGAGAAGAGCCGTCGCAGAGACCCTCGGCTGTGCACTCCTGCTCGTCAGGACCAGGAGGAGCCGGGGGCATGGCTGAAGGTGCGAGGGGGTGCAATGTGACGGGTGGGATGTTGTTCTAGTACCTGAAGTCTGGGAGGTGTCCTTCAGGCCTCACTTTATACAAGAGTCTGCAAGGAGGCCTCCGAGTTTGTTCAGATTTGTAGACCAAAGTGGAAGGGATCAAGACTAGAAACAGACAATGAGGAGGCTGCTATAACACATGCTGAAAGTTGAGTCCTGCTTCCAAATAAAATTAACTTGTACAGTACCCGTTTGTATGCTTGTTCTGAAAGGCGAAGGAAGTCAAAATCTTGGGGAAAGATAATTTTATTAAGTAGAAATATTTCTCACTCTTTATTCCGCAGTCCAAGGAACTATTTCAGCCCCTCCTGGGTAAAGCTCGGCCTCCTCTTCTTTGTTGCATCCTTATTTAAATGTGTAAGCGTCACAAGAAGCCATCTTTCTAACATCATCAGAATTAGAAAAACGTCCCCCCTCCGCTGGACTAAACTTGACTTTGTTGTAAATCTTTTCCCCACCCCAGTTTTTATGTATCCTTTCTATTTTATTTTTTAGGGCATTGTCGAGTTACAGTGATCTGAAGAGAGACTCTGCTCTGAACCCCGCCACTCCCCCTCACACCCCAGGCCGGCACGGACTGACATCCACGCCTCCACAGAAGCCGGTGTCCCAGCACGCAGCACAGAGGCCAGGAGATGACACTGAGCTGGCTCAGGGCGGACAGGCCCAGGTGGCCAACGGCGTGATGGCAGGTGTGATGGCAGCACCACTGCAGCAGGCGGAGCGCGGGAGGGAGGCCATGGCCTCACCCAGTCCAGATCCCCTGGCTCAGACTGCCAAGCCCTTGCTAGAGGTGCATTTAGTGAATGGAGAGCGAGAGGCAGCCACCCCCGGCTCTGTATCACCTGTCGCCGATGACGGAGGTGGCGATGCTTTCGAGAGTAGCAGCAGGACTCCAGGTGCAGGCCCAGAGCTCCCCCTGAAGGGAGAAGCAGCCGAGAAGGAAGCCTGGCTCCAGGAAGGAGAGAATGGAGAGAGCCCTGGGGAGCAGGAGCAGCACCCGGAGACCAAGGTAGAGCCCGAGGAGGAAAGCCACCTGATGGGGCACTGTTTAAACCACTACGGCACCCACAAAAAGAGTCAGGTCACCCACACCAGCGCCTGGACCGTCCTTCAAGCTGTGGGTGCCAGTGGGTGTGGATGCAGTATTTTACTTGTCTTTTTATGTAGTGTCTGTGCATCTCATGCAGTGATTTCAAGAGTGAGAGTGGTGTGGAGCCTTCAGTACAGGAAAACCACGGCTATACTATCTGTAGATTTTTTGAGGCAGGGTCTTGTCAAGTGGCCCAGGCTGGCCTTGAACTCATGGCCTGCCTGAGCCTCCCAAGTGCTGGTGTTACAGGCGTGCACCGCCACGCCCAGCACATTGTCTTTTTACCATATGGGAAGAGAGTATTTTTAGCCTAGGTGGTGCTGCAGCTTTAGTATTGCTGGGCTGAGTAAGACAAAATTGTGTAATCTTTGTTTCTGCAGCATTTCTAATCTAGTAAAATAGTAGACAGACCTGGAAGTTGAACTTGCCACTGGCAGGTGATGCTTTTAAAGACAGAGAAGAATTAACAAATTGAACACCTTGTTTATGATGCTTTCCAAGCTTAATTTTTTTTTTAAAGCTTCCCAATACCCAGTTTTACAATAAATGGCTTCATTTTGGAGTTAGGAGGCCATTTAAATATCTTTGTTAAGCAATTCTTTTTTTTTTTCTTTTGGTTTTTTGAGACAGGGTCTCACTATGTAGTTGAGACTGACCTAGAACTCACTAGGTAGCCCAGGCTGGTCTTGAACTCACAGCGATCCTCTTGCCTCAGCCTCCTGAGTGCTGGGATTTCAGGCGTGTGCCACCATGCCTGGCTGCAATTCTTTTATAGAAGAAATAGTCCCAGAAGGCTGAAGTGGTTCTCTGAGGTCACACTGCTATATGTAATTAATAAACACAGACACTTTGGGCTATGAGTCCAGGCCAGTGTTAGTGTCCCTGAAACAACACACTGAAAACCTAAAAGGCAAAATGCAGGCCATATCAGAAGCACCACAGCCACGAGTAACATTTGAGAGAGCGGTGGGACTGGAGTGAACTTAGAGTTCATACCCTTCTGAAGAGGGAGGTGCTGTAGTTTTATTTTGTTTGTTTGGTTGTTTGAGACAGGGACTCACTGTGTAGCTCAGGCTCCTCCATCACTTGTGGTCCTCCTGCCTCAGGCTCCCCAGTGCTGGAATCACAGGCACGCTAACAAAGAGCTGGTTTGCTGGTGAAGTACAGTCATAATTTCCCTGTACTTGGGTAACTTAAAGTGTTTCATTTTCGTAACATTGCGATAATAAATTTCATTAGGTATATTGGAAAGGTAGTGGGATGTCATGGACCAAGTCGTTAGAACCAGATGCTTCTCCTAGCAGCAGCAAGGCGTTGCCAGTCTCTTCTTTATTCATGTTAGTATATTAAGAATATTAATAACTATGACTTTCATCATGGGAGTCTCGTGTATCACAGGTATAACAGCAGTATACTAAATCTCCCTCAAGCTAGAAGATTGTTTACACCTCTGAAGACAAAGCTTCCCTTACTTAGTCTCTTCTGATCATACTGAATAACTATGTGAGAGTAGAAAATTTGACAATTACAGGAAAATTTGTAAATGGCAAATCCCAGTCTTCAATCTATGTAGGAGTTTCTAATACTGCTGTGCCTTATTGGACATTAACATTGGCAGAATTATTAAAAGGACTGATTCTAAAATATATAGAGTAGAAGTTGGTTCTTACCAATAGTTGTATTTAGAACTTTGAAGTAAAATCAACTTTAGGGTATAATCTTCACTGGCCCTGAAAGAAATAAAAAAATACACAGAGCTCCAGTGGCTTACTTCTTCCAACTAGTGAGCTAATTTTAAGTACTGACTCTTGAGCAGGGAAAGTTTAAATAAGGAAGTGGGTGCAGAAGGTGACTCACACTTGGTAACATTATCTGAAACGGTCAAGAAACAGAACATTGCACAGTAACTGTACATCTTGATGTGGTGGTGGAATTTAAGGTCTTTGTGCTTCAACCATGGTGTAAGGGAGAACCTAGAATCTACAATGGGGATGAACCATACGGCAAGTGTTTGTAAAACAGTAAGAGCTGTTCTTATTCAGGGAAATGTGTTAACTGGTAATGATGATTGTGTTTGCTAGGTGGTATTTTTCCTGTTTTATATTAAATATTGTAGAGGCATGTTCAGCGATGAAGCTTACTTGGCTTGGGAGAGATTCAATAGGATTTTATTATCAAGCTAGCAAAGCTGTACGATAGCTGGCTTTTCTCCTAATTGGGCTTTTCAGTAGTGATGGCACAGGCTTTATGTGGGAAGGAAAAGGAAATTTTCTCTGCAGAGTTGTGATCCACATACCTCATCTCTCCCATCTGAAAACAGGGCTTAGGGTCGGTAGAGAGAGGGTATTTTCTTTCTGTCACCCCGAGGGCTGCTGTGTACCTTTCCTGGTTCCAAAATGCGTACATACTTAATCATGGTGATGAGGGGAAATTTTGTTAGGTATATTTTACTGTAATTAAAAGGAGAAAAGAAAAAAAATGTTCAATTTCAGCATATTGTAGACCAAATGATTGGGACCAAAAATAATCTCAGTTTTGTCTCTGCTTTGTGCCCGCATTAACAGTCAGGATAGTTCTTCGTGGGTTTAGGGTGTGCACATCGCTGTTGCTGATGATCCAGTAATTCTACACTGTGATATGTGGGTATGTTACCTCCCGGCATAACCCTCCCGGTGATTACCTGTTTCTTAAACTGACAAGACATAATGGAGTGTTTTGAATTTCTCTGTATAGACGGCTGAAAAAATTACTTCTGTTTTTATGTAACTGAGTATCGAGATTTTTATTGAAAGCAGTATTAAACTTAATGAACACTTTCCCAGTACCCACCAAGAGTAGTGAGAAAGCAAGGAGGGGAAGGAGGACAGAAGGAGAATTGCAGATGCAGCCCAGGAAGAGATGGGTGCTGTAACATATCACAAGCATTGTTACTAACTGAGGACTGGCTCGCAAAGAGTTCAGCTCGTGAACCTGTGTTATTGATTCTTCTGAGATTCTTTGATCAAGATCACTGTCATTGGCAAATGTAAAAGATAAAGAATTCCTGCTTAAATTTCTGCATTCTACCATACTCCAGCAAAACTATTCTTTCCGAGTGATTGCATTTTGTCTGTCAGCACTAGGGATTGACCCTAGTCACTGCTAGCCCTGTTTTATTTTACAACAGAGAGCTGCTCAGTTGCCTGGGCTGAGCTTCAACTTGTGACCCTACTGCCTCAGCCTCCCAAGTAGCTGGTATTACAGGCTGATTAAACTTTTTGTAGCACCAGTGATCTAGATCTAACCAGACATCTAAAGTAAGCAAGCGTTTTTTGTTTGTTTGTTTTGTTTTTGGTACCCAGAATCTAACTCAGGACCTTGCGCTTACCAGGCAGGTGTGGCACCACTGAGCTACATCCCTGGCCCACCATATTTTTTTTCATTGAGTTCATTGGTACATTTTAGGTATACAGTAAGTTACATCCATCATTGGGATCTTGTACCTTTACATGACAGGTCTTGGTTCTCATTTTTTCCCCTTGTCCCTGCCCTCCCTTCAAACCCCTCCTCCCTCCCCATTTACAAACACTTTATTTCCATTTTTTCATTTTCTTCTATTTTTTTCTTTTCCCTTATTACCCTTCCCACTTTCCCTACACCTTTAGCCCTTTTCTTCCTATTTCACATTGTCAGTTATCTCATTAGGATCTTATGTTGTATGTGTATTAAACCTAGAAACTAAAAGAAAATTGTGAGTGCTTTCTGATACCGTTAGCTGTCACTCACTAGGCCTGGTATCTTTAATCTTAATCATGTAGTATAGCAGATGAAATCTACTGGAGGGGAGAAGTTGTTAAAAGGAAACACATTGAAGCTCCTAAATTATAGGAAGAAAAAGACAAGGAATATTGTAGGGCGCACACGTCATCTGTGCCCACACAGGCACGAGTCCCTGCAGACACCACAGGGCCAGGCTACAGGGCTAGAATGCCTGTCTGGCGTGGCGAATTTGGGATGTTATAGATAGCCACAACTGTATTGAGTGCACTCTTAGGAGACGCAGATAATTCTCAATATGTTTTAGAATGAATTTTCTTAAAGATGATTATTCTGGGCCAGGGATTTAGCTCAGTGGTTCTGCCGCCTGCCTCACAAGCACAAGGACCTGAGTTCAATCCCTGGAAAAAAAAAAAAAAAAAAGATTATTCTTTCTCCAATTTATATGCTAAATTAGTAAGGTGTTGTTGTCTAAACACCCAGTGGTGGGAAAGCTGCACGCGTTGAGCTTTATGTGTCGTGAGCCTTTGAATGCTGGGGATGCTCTGTAACAGGTGGCATTGGTAGGCTGTTTTCCTCTAGTGTATTCAGTACTTCTTCTCCCACTTAGATTTACACTGTTGAAATGTAGGTACTCCAGTATAGAGCTCTTACATTTTATATTTATATTTTGGCTTTACACAGCAATCAAATGTGTGGAGCTGTCATTTTAAGACTGAAGTTTATATAAACAGCATCTGTGTTACTGACAACACAAGTTCAAGTTACTAATATTTAAAAACCCTAATCATAAGTTAGCGGAAATATAACAGAGACAGGTTTTAAAAATAAGTTGGTCCTTCTTTGACCCAAAATGACAGAAATTATATAATAAAGTGACTAACACATGAAGGAAGTACGCACAACTTTGAGACTTATGGAAACATTATTTTTTTTAAACTTAGTTCATTTTCTGGTTATTCCCGATTTTTAATTAGTTTTACTTACTATATTCATGAATGCCAGCTGTTCAACATAATGGAAATAAGAGTGAAGATTATCATCGCTCATAAGGAAGAGAGCAGCGGCCAAGTCCAACCCAGCAGTAAGCGGGGAGTTCAGATGGCTGTGGACACTGGATGAGCCCACTCACTGAGGGTGCTGGAGTGGCTGCTGAGGCAGTG